GCTTCAGGCAGGACCCCCCTCCTGTCCCTGTTGGCAAAACCACCAATCAGGACCCATGAATATTCCCGCTCCTGTAAGGTGACAGGAAAGGGTTAAAAGCAGAAGGAAGAAGGGTGATAGGAAAGAAGAAAAGAGTTCTAATTCTATATACAGTAATTACATACAACAAAATGGCAGACAGCCACACAAGCATTATTTGTGGAATAAAGTTGTGTATCAGTTCTTTTCCGGTCAACAACCCTGTTATACACAGATGTTTTTGTGGAAATTTGTTATGTAGTGTCAGTCTGTATACTGTCATTTCTCTTTTGAGTTTTGTAATGGTATAGTAGATACAGATGTTGAATTCATTTGTTTCTTGAGTCCACTTCTGTTGGTTTTCCAGTATTGGTGGTCAGTGGCGGGACTGGTGTGTTGTCTATTGTATAAGTGAGGTGTTGAATGTGTTTATGATGCAGTAGCCATACTAGGGCCAGTACTGTATATTTCCATTGGCGGTGAAGAGAGACTGGCTGGTTTTTTGAATGTGAGCCTCTGCCTATTTTTCAGAATTTTTGTGATTTGGAAAGGCCACCCTGATTGGAAAATTTTCTAGAAATGTCCTAATTTGTTCATTTCCAGTAAAAATATTCTGATTTGCATTTAAAAATGTCAAATAAAAATTGTAGGTGATAGTAGGTGTTGTGCATGAATGTACCAGCCATCTTCACAATCTCACATGATACACCTTTAATAATCTTTGGCATATACATCATATTCTGTGGCCCTGTATAGTGCTATTTGATGGCTTCAAAATCATTGATGATTTAGCATAGTCATTGATGATGGCTCAATGGTTACATCTGACCATAGTCTAGCTTTTTTTGTTTTTTTCACTTTGTGGGCACTAAAAGGACATCTACGTTTAACCAAGTCTGTCATGGATTCAGCCAGATCCATAATGGGGCAGACAGGTTTTCCAACAAAAACTTAGTTGGTTGAAATATTTAACATAATGACAAATAATAAAAAATACAGTGGAACCTCGGTATAGACCTTAATCCATTCCCGATGTTTGGACTTATACCGAATTGGACATATACCAAACCAATCTTTCCCATAAGAAGTAATGTAAAAATGATTAATCCGTTCTCGTGTAAAAAAAATGGCTGGCTTTAAACACCTCTCTTTCCTGGCTAGTTCCTGCTTGATTTTTCATGAGATCAGTGTGTACCTTTTTAGCTTTCTCGCAAATAATTGCTTCCGATACGCTGTCTCCAGCACTGTTTTTCAGTTATCCAAAGCAAAAGTAATTACTCGACATGATCTAATGTCTTCGATTTCTGTTTAGAAATTGATTTAACCCCTTTCGCAACGTTAGCAGATTTAATAATGTCATTATTTTTCGTGATTGTTCATATCGTCGTTCTCGGAATACGGTAGGCAACAGTTAAAATCTCGAACATGCGTGCCACCTTCGTATTTCTCAACAATCTCTTTCATCAGTTCCATTGTAATTCTAGTCATTTTTTTAATTTTCTGTGCTTTTCATTTGCCTTTTTGCAATTTGTGATTAATAAAAATAATAAAATTTTACTTACAAATTAAAATCAGAAGAAATTTAACAAAGTTATAAACCGTTGCACCGCGAACGTCTAGTCTGGTCTAGTACACCAATAGTGCTACTTGTTCATTGATGGTGCGTATAATTGAATTATGTCGTATACCGAACAAAAGTCGTATACCGAACAAAAGTCGTATACCGAGCAAAATTTGTTTCATCCAAACAGAACGTATTTCGAATTGGACGTATTCTAAAGCAGATGTATACCGAGGTACCACTGTATTCAGTAATTGACAATTTAATGAAATTAATTTAATTAGAATTATTCACTTATTTTCTAACTACTACCTAATGCTGTATCCATCAATTTTTATCACATTTCTCATTTTTATTTTAACACAGTGTGCTGATTTCTGGTTTTGAACTTATGGCAGCCTCTACTTCTGCCTAATAGACAAATATTGTTAACCTGGGCAATGACCAAATTGGTATTATACTGTGAATGTTTAACAACCATGTTTTGTTATCTTCACATAAATACAGTTTGTTTCACAAGTACTGACTAGGCTTTAAAGTACACAGTAGCAAGAACTAATCTATTTACTTAGTGAAGAGAACAGATTATTTGTTGAATATGTGATAAGGTCACTGTGCATTACCAAAAAAGGTTCTTGAACTTTATAAAACTTTTAAAATCCCAATTGAATACAGGTATCTCTTGATTAACACGGTTAATTAATCCCTTGATGCTACCGCGTATGTCAAATTAGCATTAATCAAATACAATATCTATGTTAAGTAAAGGCAGTTGTTGAAGCCACATTAATTAAAACTTCTGCCACATATATAAAGGGAATGATGCAATTAATTTCATGTGTTAATTAAATCCTTCATTAAGTAAAACAAGGGATACCTGTACTGCACATTGCTTGGCCAAGATATGTGAAATGATCTGTAGGTGTGCTTATATATGTAAAACCAAGTTTATAATTCAGCTGTCTCTGACATGGAAAACAGACACTGTGTGAGGCCCCAGAAATAGTTCAAACTTAAAAAGGGCATACAAATTTAGTAAAGAATTATTAATGTGACACAGAGAAACAACTAATTCTTCAAGGTATCAAGTTATCTGCATTGAGGCGGCAATGCTGGATCTTGACACCTTTGCTATTATACAATGGCGAGAAGAAAAGATGGTGCTGGATAGACCATCCTTTCTTTTCAGATAGACCATAGACCAAGCAAACCTTTCTCGTGACCCGAACTTGTCTCAATTTTCCACCTGGAGACATGTGAGAGACCAGTCGGAGAGCAGGGAAAGGGAAGTTCAACCAATTAGAAAAGTAATTAAGAATGAAAATCTTATAGAAACTCTAATATCCAAGGACAACAGAGTTTTTTGAACTTCCACACTTCTGCTCTCCCTCTGTGTCAGCATTGAAACATCAGATTCAATGGAGTATCCATATACCAAGTCTACTCTCTAGCCACCAACTCACCATTATCCCAGGACTGCCTGATGGATGGAACTTAAATTTGGAAGCCAGCACAACCTGTAGTTCAGACACCTGAACAAGTTACTTTTGACTTTCTCAAGGACTCTTCTTGCCAATGTAAGAACCCTCTGTTAAAAATAAATGGTTTTGTAAGGCAGTTTTGTATTCTCTGACCTCCTTCATCATTGCCCACATATGCAAGAGTCCCTAGGTCAATGGATTAACGATTCCCCTCGTAAGTTGGCAAACTTGCAACTGTTTAGCAACTATCCACTCTGGGTCACATGCTGTTTATGGGTACTATTTGTTTTATTTCTTCCCATAGATCCTATTCACTTGGATGGCTCTATTGCCATATTATGCTTCTTCCAGCATTATTCTATGGTTCATTGGAATTACTGAGCGCACTCACAATGACAAGATGATGACTAGCAAGAGAATTGTTGATGATGATAATATTTTTGATTAGTATTATTTGAAAAATAGATATAAAACAAAGTGATAAAAAAATTGTCATTTGGTTACCATTTTTAATTTTTGTCATGTATGCAGTTTAGGCTGTTTGGTTACAAATTTTCTGTTTCTCCATTATAATTATTTTGTAATTACACTTACAATAAACTGCTAATGTAAATAGAACAAAAAAATATATTACAATTAATAAAAAGTATTAAAAAAATAGGCTGAGGACAATAATCTATATATATATATAAAAATGGACATGTATGTCCCTATATCTCACTTTTTCGCCAAAACTACACATCGCACGTGAATGGTGTTTGTATGTGGTGATAGCCCCAAGTCTCCATTCGTGCATAGGGGTGGTTGCGTCTCGATAGCTATAAGGGTGCGGGAGATATGAGGCTGAAAGTGGTTGAAAGTGGCTTTCTATTTCGAATGTTTTGTTCGATTTTTTCGAATTTGTTCGAATTAAATTCGAACATAAAATTCGAATATTGGTTCGATTATAGAACGATTGTAAACGTTCCAGAAACGTTGAAAATAGTTCGTTTGACTAAACGTAAAAATTCTCTAATTAGTCTGGAAACGGGGGACCTAATTCTTGCATTTTGTGAAAACGGGTAAGATTAGCTATAATGTAATTATCTTAATCTTCACTATCGTTACTTTTTGCCCAGCGAAGCGGGTCCTTGCAGCTAGATTCTAGATTACTTAGAAAAACAGTCTTATATATATAAAAAAAACTATATTACATAAAAATAAAAACCCAGCGAAGCGGGATCTTGCAGCTAGTTATTTATATAAAAATATTCACATATTTTGAAGAAATGCTAAACTTTCAATTCATTGTCCTTCTCAAACCTTCAGGAACAAACAGTCTCTATGGGCAGAGGCTCATTGACCTTTTTATTGAGGCTTCTTGTCTGCCTCAGTATGTAAAAATGTTTAAAAAAACATTTCCTAGGTAGTGGTGCAATCAAATTAAAATATTTAAAAGCATATATTATAATTAATACAAAGTATTAAAAGAATAGGTCAAGGACAATGTTTTAAACATTTTTACATATAAAGGCAGATGAGAAACCTCAATAAAAAGGTTGACTCCACCTGTAGAGACTACTTGTTCCTGAAAGTTTGAGGACAGTGAAATGAAGATTGTGTTTATTCAAAATATGTGAATATTTTTATATACAAAACACATTATGTTTAGATAATATCTTTTAAACTGTGTTTCAATATAAGTAATTATTGTTTTCAAAAGTGACTTCAGAGGTATATAGTGATGCAGGGTATGTGAAGATTTTAATTCCATTCTAGCAGTTTTTTAATGAGATATACAGTATTCTGGTGTGGGTAATATGTTGTTATGGGTTATCTGTAGAAACTTGCAATAATTTATTGTAGTTATTGGAATATTTTAAAATTTAATTAATCTAATTAAAAATGATGGTAATTTTTATTTTTATAATTATATTTAGAGCATATTTTTTATTTTATAGGAATTTATTCAACAATTCAACATTTCATATTAAAATGACATTAGAAGAAGATTCTACTAATGAAGAAAACAACAGTTTTGTTTATAAAAATATTGAAGAAGTTACTTTAAGATGTAATAATCCAATTAAAAAGAATGATATTATTGAACAGTTTTTAAAATTACAGATATCTGATGAATCCCAAAATAATAATAATAATTCATACTTAATAAACAAAAAGGAAGAAAATAGAAAGCATATTAAAACTTCTTCTGAGAGTAAAAATGTAGTTGAGAGAGAAGTATATATTAAGGAAGAAAGAAGACTTCCTACTCATCTTAATAATAAAAAATCTGATGGTAAAAATGAAGTAACAGAAAGAGATTCAGATGAAGAAACAGAATCATCTTCATTGGAAATATTAGAAAGAGGACCAGTAAGAAATACTTCATCTTCTAGAGTATCTGTATATGATATATCAAAGAGAAATTCCAAAAGGCATGAAGTTACTTACACAGGATTATCACAGAATAAGATAATTGCAAACACAAATTCAAACATATTAACAAACTGTGAAGATGAATTTTTTTCAAATTTATTTTCAACAATTAATACAGATGATCTTATCAGTTTAACTGATGAAATTGATTCTTTCAATTTGCTTGAACAAAATAATATAAAAAATAATGAAATAAACCATAAAGAAGTAAAAGAGATAAAAATAAAAGAAATTTGTGAATATCTTAAAAGTGAAAATTTCACTGAAACACCCCAATTAACACGTATAATTTCTGAATTAGGATCGCATGGTTTTAGTAAAAATGAATTTACTAAAGATAGTGAAGTATCACCTGTTGGAAATGTAACAGTTCAGTCTCAATTTTCAATGCCATCTTCACCTCAACAGGCCTCAACACCCCCACAAATGGCTGTTATTCCTGACATATCACAGAATGCAACAATGCCTATAAATTATGAATTAGCTAAAACGGTTGAGTCTCAGCATCTTACTATTGTTACTCCAGTTTCAACACCACTATCCATTGGATTGTGTACAATGATTTTAAATGATGATAAAAAACCAAATATAACTTCAAAACAGAGGAAAATTTTACCTAAAGTTCAAAGTTATTCAGAAGATTCACAACAAAGGTGAATAAAAAATTTTGCTCTAAAATAAAAATTAATTAATTTAATGAAAAATGTTGAGTAAATTGATGTCAATGGATAAAAAATCTTCAAATACCGGATTAGTATAAAAAATAACCACTTACTAAAACCAATAACCGGTATTAAATAATCGTAAAATGAACTGCGAACGTTTTCGGTTCCTTCCCTAGGACCTTTCTCAAGCAGCGATTTGTCTTTAGAATAACTATGAACCTATTTAATTTAATACCGGTTATTGGTTTTAGTAAGTGGTTATTTTTTGATGTCAATGATTATGATTTGTTTTAATGCAGTTAAACAGAAATGACAAAATAGCAATTCTATTTGATAGTACTTTCAGGTCATCAGTTGGATTCTCAAAACTCTAGCAGCAAGTGCAAATGTTATCTTCTCATTTTTGTTTTGCTGTTGAAGCATGTTGAAGCATTTTTAATTATTATTATTATTTTTTTTAACTTGTGGAATTTTATTTTTTGTTTTTTTGATCATGGTTTGTTGAATTATATTGGTTTATTCATTTATTTTTTAGAGTTAATTTGATAATATAAGTAAATGTGTTGTTATCTATAGCTTTATTGTAAATACAACCTCACCATAAACTGGAACTGTAATATTCGCAAATCACACCTAAATTCAAAATTTCCAGCAAATAAAAGTCAAAAATACACATCGAATGTTTTCGGCCACTAAATTTATCGACCTTCCTCAGGAAATATAAACTGGAAAAACTGTCCTATAAGTAGAACTTAGCTGCCTTTTAAATTTTTAAAAGAATGAAAACTGCTGTGACGTATCGTGTATGACGTATATTATGAGTCTAGATAGCGTTTCCATGCTGATGATACAGGAATGACATCCATGTTGATGCAGTTTCCACTCACGCTCGCCTTGTAGATCTCTACTGCTTCTAAAATTTTTATATTTTGCCTGTTGAAAACCTTGTGTATTAGCTTGGCCTGGTCCCAACAGGGGGAAATCCCCGGATCACTGGCATACTGTGCTAAAGCTGTATTGATGTTACCTTTTAGCACATCATATTTGTAATCTTTTAGTCTGGCTTGTAGCGATCTGTATGTGGATCCTATGTAAGCTAGTAATCTGTCAAACCTCTCGTCATATAGGGGGATGTGGTAAATCCCAGGAGCCAGAGTGTCTTCAGTGTCATCCTTCGCGTTTGAGAGAAGGTGGAAAACGGTGGGTTTCCTTCTATAGGCAAGGAGTACGTTTAAATTATTTGCGATCCTTCTATATATGCGATGTAGTGTCGGTTCGTAGTCTAAGATCACCCGATTTGCTTCTGCTTTGTTAACCCTGTTAGATGACTGAGATAGATATTTGGATGCCAGATTGTCAATAAACGATGTTCGTGCCTCAGCCTACTGCACATAATCCATTATCAGTTATAACGAATATGGAAAAATTGCTATCTTCTGGAAATAATAAATGTCCAGATTACAACAAAAATTATCTTAGATGGAAAGCGCTATTCACTATTGAGGAACATAAACACCAACCAGAGAGTAGTATATTTTGGCAATACATTGAAAGAAGTATAAATTGGCTCAGATCACAGAACATCACAATGATCAAGGCTGATAAGAGCAAGGCAGTCGTGCTCATGAAAAGATCTACCTACGTCGATACATTGCAGCAATATGTAGTGGACACACAATATCAGCTCTCAGATGCCACATATATAACAAAACTACGAAGTCGTGTTACTAAGTTTACACGCACGGGTCTTGCAAACACACTTAGCCTGAGACACGTGGTAGTCAGCTCTCCTGACACTCCACGTCTGTTTGCCTTTGCTAAAATGCATAAACCCAGTTAACAATTACGTCCAGTGATCGATAAAGCCAGATCACCAACATTCGTATTGGAACAACGGATACATCATATGTTAAGGCACTACCTGCATTCGTACACGTACATGATCTCAGATTCAGGTGACCTTCTCTCCAAACTGGCCGCCAGTTTGGAGAGAATTTGGAGTTTAGTTTAAATGGAGATGAATACCTTACAGTCTTCGATTTTATTTCCATGTTTCCGTCTGTAAGGTTGAAACCTTGCTTCTGCGCATTGAGAGATTACTTTCTAAGCTCTATCCCTGATGCACAATCGTACCACTTGCAGATATTAGAGCTTACTCACTTATTATGTTATTCATCCTGTTTTCGATTTAACAAACATACCTACATCCAAAAACATGGAGTACCCATGGGTAGTCCCATCTCAGGAGATCTTTGTAAATTAGTCCTACGACAATTGGAGGAGTGGTCATTAAAAAACATCAAGCATAACATCCTTCTGTACACCCGATATGTCGATGACATTTTAATTGTATGGAGAAAACGTCCTAATATTGCGGATGTATTAAAAATGTTTAATAATAACAGCTATGGATTAACGCTAAAGTTGGATCAGGAGAGCAATAATAGCATTAATTTCTTAGACATCAGGATCCAAGAAGCTGATAGCAAATTCGTCATAGCAATTTATCACAAGGCTACTTCCATTCCTCTATTCATACCTTCCAATTCAGCGGACCCATGGGCATATAAGACATCCGCATTCCGCACTCTTGTGGCCAGAGCTTACTCCCATTCTACATGGTTGTCTGATACCAACAAGGAACTGGAGCATCTCAAACAGGTAGCATACAACCACGGATATGGCCGCACGTTTATTGACAATCTGGCATCCAAATATCTATCTCAGTCATCTAACAGGGTTAACAAAGCAGAAGCAAATCGGGTGATCTTAGACTACGAACCGACACTACATCGCATATATAGAAGGATCGCAAATAATTTAAACGTACTCCTTGCCTATAGAAGGAAACCCACCGTTTTCCACCTTCTCTCAAACGCGAAGGATGACACTGAAGACACTCTGGCTCCTGGGATTTACCACATCCCCCTATATGACGAGAGGTTTGACAGATTACTAGCTTACATAGGATCCACATACAGATCGCTACAAGCCAGAACAAATATGACGTGCTAAAAGGTAACATCAATACGGCTTTAGCACAGTATGCCAGCGATCCGGGGATTCCCCCCTGTTGGGACCAGGCCAAGCTAATACACAAGGTTTTCAACAGGCAAAATATAAAAATTTTAGAAGCAGTAGAGATCTACAAGGCGAGCGTGAGTGGAAACTGCATCAACATGGATGTCATTCCTGTATCATCAGCATGGAAACGCTATCTAGACTCATAATATACGTCATACACGATACGTCACAGCAGTTTTCATTCTTTTAAAAATTTAAAAGGCAGCTAAGTTCTACTTATAGGACAGTTTTTCCAGTTTATATTTCCTGAGGAAGGTCGATAAATTTAGTGGCCGAAAACATTCGATGTGTATTTTTGACTTTTATTTGCTGGAAATTTTGAATTTAGGTGTGATTTGCGAATTGCTTTATTGTGAATATATTAAGTTAGGATTGACAAAAAGATCCAACCAAGATAGCTACATAAAACAAAAGTTAATTGCTGATAAACAAAATGTACCAACCTTATTGTTATTGTGCTTTGCATGAAGTTTTGAAAGTTATCATGTTACTAATGTTTTCAATCCATGTGTAGGATCTTTTGAAAAACAATTCCTTTTGATGCTGGTGGTGATCCATTTTTCATTTGGTTCTGATGTATTCGAATTTCAAACATTTACTTTTTATGAATCTTTAAACACCAGGAGTATATAAAATTTTGCTCAAGAATAACAGATTTAATGAGTCCTTGTATATATTGGGTCTACAGAAAGATCTCTAAAACAATATCTCCCTGAACACAAAGCAGATATAGAAAAGAAGAAAAAAATTACCAGCTTAGTTATATATGCCAATGAGAATGGGATTACACAAGAACTACAACAGGCTATCCTAATAATACGAAAAACCTGCCATATACACCAATTTAGGAATTTGGAGACATTGGAAATTTTTAAAGCAGCTTGCCAGAGTTTTTCGATCAATTTTAAAGACAAAGAACAAATTTCAAAGGCATTGCAAGCTATGTATTGCCCAGCACTATAACAAATGACACATGCACACATGTTTAAAAATTCATAAAAAGGAAATGCTTGAAATTTGAATGCATCAGAGCCAAATGAAAAATAGAACACCACCAGCACCAGAAAGAATTGTTTTTTAAAAAGATCTGCCTGAAGAAAATCCTAGACATGGACTGAAAACATTAGTAACATGATAACTTTTAAACTACGTGCAAATTGCAATAAGGCTGGTATGTTTTGTTTATAATTAATGCTTTGTTTAGTGGATTGTTTTTAATTCACGATTCCCATTACAGATGTAAATAATCACAACAACAAACGTTTAATGAATAAACACCTAATTCAGTGGCGTGCCATCATTGGAAGTGGTGGAAGTGCCACTTCCCTTGTATCTTCTAAAAATAAATACATATTGTGTGATTATTTTCATATAATTAAAATTAATATTTTATTATAACCGCATTATGTATCTTATTACAAATTTCTGTACTACATGTGAAAAAAACGATAAGATTACTATTGCATATTCGAATATAGTGGTGGAATGGAAGTGCTGTATTGTCAGCTTCCAAATAGCCAGATTCACGCATGCGTTTTACAGAGCACCAACCACACCTGGTTTAGCTGATGGAAGCTATACACATATAACACTTTCAATGATTCTATCCAGGACTGGTTCTGGGCTGTTAGCCATCTGCCTGCTAGATATTTGGCCACCCTCGCCCAATTATGTGAATCGCAAGTAGATTTATAACTTAATCCAACCGATAAGAATTTACTGGTACGTTTTTATGATAGTTCTGTGTAGTTGACAGGAGTTTAAAAAAATCCATTAAAATATTTGATATTTTTATTCCGCTCTCCCATCTTATATTACTTATGGATTTCAATGTTAAACCAGTGATATTACGATTTCGTATGTCCCATCTCTAAGAGGATGTAGAAAAAAATGTGTACAATTCTTGTACAATATTAAAAATTAACTGTTACTTTGACAGCATCATTTACAACTAAATTTAATGAATGAGAAAGATGCATGAGGTACAGAAAAAGCTCTAGAATTTATTTTCCTTAAATTTACGATTTATGTATCCGTTTGTCATAAAAATGTGTCTTTCCACTTTTTTTCCCAAGACTACAAATATTTGAGTACAAAGTAACTGGTTTTGACTTACTTCTACTTAAGAAGTAGTTAAATAATTAAGCAATTAGGGAATTGTGGACAAATAAAACTCTGATGGAATTTTACGTAAACAAAAGCTTAACCAATCCAATCTCTAGCCAAGTACATTGGAGACTGATTCTTTGTAATATTAAATGTAATAAAGACAGAAATTTTTCCAGTTCAATGAGAGTGACCAAAAAGTTGTAAATTTTGGAAATTTCTGTGGACACCTGTTCCTAAAATGAATTACTTAGAAAACAAATGACTATTAAGTTTAACAAATTTAGATTTTTACAGCTATGGTGAGAAACGTTTAAAATTTACAACAACCCTGCCATATCCTTTGATATATATTAGTGATGCAACAAAAGAGGCATTTGACATTAACCGGTATTGGCATACTCGGGATTTGGCATGCACACCTACCAAGATCATCTCTGATTCCATCCATGGGCCATTGGTAGAGATAGTGTTACCACCCGCCCGTTTTTCACCCAGACAGTCTGGGAATCGTGAACTATTAATTGTGGTGAACTATTAATTTTATCCGGGAATATCGTGTGCAACCTGTCAACTTTTTTTTTTTTTTTTTTTCCTCATACGATTTGTATTCGTACATGTCTCCAATATCCAATAGAGCTAAGTCATCTATAGTTGTTTTTTCTTAATTTAGTTACTTACGTTATTCCTACCCAAGTCTCCCTAGTCCCTAACTGTAACTGATTTAGAATTGGCATGCACTGCACGTTATTCTTTGCATTGCAAAATGACTCCTGTTCGAACAAACCTCACCAGCTGTTTGGGACAGAGATTTTGAAAGCATAGGTGGCAACATAGGTAGGGAGCAATTTTAACTAAGTGGATTGTTTTAATATTTAAAAAGTAAAGAATATTTTATGTTATTTTTATGTATGTTTCTTCACAAAACTGTATTTAATTATAATTTTCTTTAAAAGTATATTCATACAATTGTATATTTTGTGCCAGGTATGTATAATTGTATATCCACCACATGTTTTATTTCACCAAGTAAGTTTTTATTATTTTATTTATAATTTTAGCCCTTATATTGTGGCTAGCGATTCAGAATATAATTGTGATATTAAAAATACATTTAGAGAAGTCTACGGTTTATACTGGCTTATCGAACAAATAATACGAATGGACCCTAGACCATCACTGACGCACAATTGACTGATTGCCCCAAAAGTCGGCTTCTTACAGAAACACAGCTTTCCTGTCATCAAATGTCACGGCACGCCACTGCCCTAATTCCTTAATCTGTATTAAAACTACAAAAGACTGGAATAAGAGGGAGAGAGGAAGAATGACAAGTATTATGTAGGAGCTTTAAGAACACATCATCACAATCCACCACTTTAAGCTTTGAGGTACCAGTACCTCAATGCTTAAAGTGGTGGATTGTGATGATGTGTTCTTTGGAATTGCAGAACAAGGTGTTATGATGTTGGATGATCTTGTTGATGAAGCTTCATACAATCTTTGGGATCACTATGACCTGAAGATCTTCCTATTCCTTTCACTTGTTGAAAGTAGCTTTCTTGATTGTCCCTGTTTTCTTCTATCCACCAGTTATACTTGTATCCCTTGATTAATGCAAGTAATTAATCCCCCAATCCTACCACATATATAACAATTGTGTTAATCAAATACAGTGAACCCTGGTAGTTGAATTAAACAAACATCATTTGCTAGAACAAATTTTTGATAAATAACAAATACAGTAGAGCATCGATTATCCGACCCCCGATAATCGATAAAATTATTAAATTATTTAAAAGTAAAAAATTATTTTTAAATTATTTTATTGCTTACAAAACAAACAACCACTCATAATTAGAAAATTAAGTCTCGTTTAAATACTGGCCTCCCTTCGATGGTCGAGTCGGTGTTGCTAGCTAAAACATGCAAAAATTTCACGAAAATAATATTAAAGTAGCCAAGACATAGCCAAATATTGTAGTGCCACATCATTGTGGACATTTGAAATTTGCCGATTAGAACGGTCGGTTAACCGATTGTTAACCAACCGTTCTAGTTCTAATCGGCAAATTTCTAGAAGTAATTGTACCTACAACTAATAAGTATAACTAAATATATTTGCACATTTGACTACCACATGTTTTCATAAATAGATAAATTGTAGTTTATACTAATAGGGAGTAAAGGCAAAAGAACTTAAACCTAAAAAGTTTAATGAGAGATTACTATAGAAATCTGATCTCTTTAAAAAAAAACAAAAGAAAGATAATAGTGTGTGATGGGAAACACACTCCATTTTGTTCTAATTTATTTGTTTTTGTTTAGTTATGTTTATTTGGAGATTTTCTTCAGTTAAGAGTGACTACTTCATGTTCCCAGTCAACAAAATGAAAACTTAAGTCAAGCTTACTATTTACAATCTGTTGTTCAGGATGCCGTAAATCAAATGACATCCACTTCTGGAAGTGAAAGAATATTTTTATTTTTTAAAGTAACTTTGGAACAAGTCAAAAAGAAAATGGAAATCTTTTATTTTCTTATGATTACATGATTATCAGAACTAGAATTTCTTGCAGTAGGAAATATGTAAAACACAGGGCTACTAAAACATGTAAAAGAAATACTGTACATGTGATGTTGTTATATCAGTAGTTATAGAGAGATGATTGCAAATAGGGAGGCTTTCTCAAAGAAAACCTCTCCTTGAAAAAGGATAGCTGTTGGATTTTATATAAAATTACTTGGTGTATGAAATTAATTGATACTAATTGCTGCTTTGTGTTTGTTCTAGGAATTCTAAATTAAAATTTATTTATTATAATTGTTAAAATTATTAGAAGCTTAACCACCTACATCAAGACCAGCGTTTCTCAAAGTGGGCGATAACGCCCCCTTGTGGGCGCTGGAGGCTTTCAGGGGGGCAGTAGAAGCCTCAAAGAGAATTGGGGGGCGTTAAGGAAATATAGAGGGGCGACGGCAGACAAATTCTATATATAAAAATTCAACGGAATATATATAAAATGTTGACATTTTATATAATTTTTATTTTTTATTGAAGGTCACAACTTGAATATTTCTAACACATTGACTTTTATTTTAGCTCAGCATTTCTCAAAGTAAGCAATAACGCCCCCTTCTGGCGCGATGAATAGATCCATGATAGAGGCAGGGTATTGAACGGTGACCAAAGGCAAAATTGGGGCTGATAAGAGGAAACATTGCGTTTAATGGTTTCCAGATGATGAGAACAATGTACAGTAAGGGCACAAAGTGTGAGATTCATAGAAAAGTTTTCCTAAGAATATTTCCAATCCTTTTCTCACACAAGAGAAAATGGGTTAGGGGGCGTTGGGTATAACTTTATGGAACAAAGGGGGCGGTGGATCGAAAAAGTTTGAGAATCACTGATCTAGACAAATTACTTTGTATCTAATTATTAACTTAGCCTATTTATCCTATCTGACTTCTTTCTTAATTAAGAAGAAATCAGATAGTTGCACTGTTTACTGTAGACTTGTTATAGTATTGTCATAAGGTTTATGATAGATGTACTACTATTTGTAATTGGTTGAAGAGAGTATTTTGAATATAAATACATTAATAAAAATTTATTAAAGGTTAATTGAGAAATACATTACTAGTTTGTGTAATTTTTAAAATTAATTTGTAATAATTTACTTTTATCAACTTACAGACAATAATAATTGCAATTTTTAATTGCAGCTCAATCATTACGAATACTAAAAAGAAACAATCAAGGATGCCCTCTGATAATAGGACAGTTCAAGAATATTTAGGCTCTAAGATTCCATCAAGTGAAAAAAAAGATTTTATGAAAAACTTTATGAATAACATAAAAGACATTGAAGAGATAGTAAAACCAATTGACAGTGATGGAAAAACGTAAGAAATTGAAATCTAATTTTATAAATTAATTAAAACTTAAAATAATTTGAAAATTACAGAAACCATTGATATTGTTATTATTATTATGTTGAGTGTAGTGGGTTATACTTGGTTGTCACTGGTTGCTGTATACTCTGCCTGACCAGAGACAAGGCATAGCAACAAAAACAAAAATTAAATAGTGTCAGTGTATGTCTGTATTTGGGAATTTCCTAACAATATGACATGTATTCAATATAGTGGCCTTCTGTAGTGTGATGTATGTGTTCCAGGCTTTTGTGTAGTGTGTGGTATGGTGTAGCACTAGTTTGTGCTTAATTAATTATGATGTACAAATAAGGCTACATACAAAAAATTTAAATTTATTATATGCATGAGATATGCTGCGATTGTATAAGTCGAGCACAGAAGTGAAAACACACGTCTAGAGCAAGGTTCGAATCCAAACTGTGAGGTCATAGGTCAGGTTGCAGGTCTGTTTGATTCAAGTTCCTCCTGGTGGCGACTTTTGGATTTATTACCAAAGCTGTCGCTACATATGACATCTGTAGAGGAGAGGACGTCAGGTACAATAAGAACCCTATCCATAAGAATGTTGTGTTCTTCAACATGTTTGTATATTTTGTTTATAAATTAATGACATCCTGTATTCAGTGTGTTGGAAGACATGTAATTGGTCTGTATTTTGTGGGGTCTGTGGTATTGTTATTTTTTAGGTTTCATGTAAGTGATGCCTTGAGTAAGAAATTTTGGCATGTCTTGTGGATTGATGATGATGTATGTTTATGTTAGGTGTTTAGCTAGTTCCTGGTGCAGTGATGTAAACTTTTTGTATCAGAAATTGTGAATGTTGTCTACACTAGGTGTCTTCCAGTTTTATTATTATTTTTTGCAAATGTCATGCTCAGCTGATACTGGTGTCAAGTGCTATACCAAACTAAAGTCAAGACATAGCTACCCAAACAAGTGTTACATCAAGCGTCTGTGTTACTGATATATGTGTCAACATCTATAAGCTTCCTAATAATGTGACATGTTCAATATATGAGTAGACAATTCAATAACAGATACAATAAATACCTTATCCATCCTCCACAGCTGTCTTGTGGTGTAATGGGTTAATGAGAACCACATTGTATAAATAATACACCACGGATTAACATGTATTTCAAATAAATGATAATGGTAATTATTTATTTACAGTCAACTTAAATTACAGAATTTCGAAACAGTCTGTAATATTACACGTTACCTTTTTTAAAATACAGAATTTAAACTGTTTATTTCTCCTCATTCACAATGCTCGTAGATCTGGTTACATGTGTGAGTCCCAAAACCGGCCAGTTCACAATTCATTTGAATCATCTTATAATGCTAATTAAAACTAACTTAAATTAAACTAAAACTAATGTTACTTAGATTAGAGAAAGAATACAGAAAGATTATATTAGAAAGGGATCCCTTTTATTTGTTTAGAAAGTTGGGCAATTTGCAACATCTATCACAATTAATTGATACAACCTGACCATGTGGACACCTTTTGATGGGACAAAATATCCAATTACAAATCCTCCTTTATATTTTGATAGTACCAGTTTTTTAACACAACTCCTCTGAATCTCTGTTGACTGAGTCTCTCTCTCTGGTTCCTTTATCGTCGTCACCCTGTCTCTTTCGTTTCCTTTTCCTCTCACTTGATTCCTCAAGAATGAACAAAGATCATCCCTCTATGCTGTGACGTTGGTCAATGCCCCTTTCCAGCCCAAAACTAGCCAGAAACAAACACTTAACGATTAAAAGAGTTGAAAAGGGAAAGGCAGAAAGCATTAGTTAGATAGACAAAGGGAGAAATTAACAGATTATTTAATAAACCTACATATATATGTCGGAGGGACCACGCCACAGTCTTATTTCTTGAGTGGAGTGTACTTGTTGATTTTTTTATTGTGAACATTGTTCATGTTATGAGTGTTTGGAATGGAGATATCTGTTATATAACAGATATTACTGCATTTGTCACAGTTGTGTAGCGTATTGGGGGTGGCAAAATTTCCTAATAAATAATAATAATATCTTGTAAAAATTTGAACCATTTCATTTCATATTTTTGTTGCACCTACAATTCAGACTGATTGAATGAGCACGGAAGTTTTCATTACTTATTCTGTGACAAAACTGAATTTTAGTCTTTTAAATTGAGATAAGGGGGCGGCGAAATTTTCCTTCTCCTGGGTGGCTGACACCCACGCTATGTTATGCTACTGTGTCAGTGAAAGTGATGTCAGATCTATTGTGATGAATTGTTTTGTCTGTGATTACGGCTCTGTCATAGTATATCAATATATTTTGTGTATCATTTTCTAATACTGCCTTTGGAGTATATTCGTAGTATGATACCTGGGCATTTAATAATCTGTGTTTGTGTGCAAGCTCTTGGTATATTATATGTTGCTACAGTAGAGTGTTGTTTATCCAAATCAATTGGAGATGGGGTTGTTCAGATAACTTATTTTTCAGATAACTGGTTATATATGAAAAATATATTAACCTATCCCATGTTGAAATTTTTCTCCGTCGCATGTCGCTTCGTGTTGAATTTTCATTAATGTTAAGCCTAATGTAAATTTTTAAAGTAATAATCAGGGCTATTGTATCGTTAAAAATTATTTCTTTATTTTGTACAAACAAAATAAATATATTGAAAAATATAAAAACAAAAAAATTATACTTTAGAAGTTAATCTAGTATCAAAAACATTTGATTCAGCACGACACATGTCCTGACACAGTCCTCAGAAAAACACCACACAAAAGTGCCAGTGCTGCCAGCTAAAACACACACACCAACAAAAAAAATATTGGAGTAGCCCAAAGATTGCAACGCACAGCACTAGCGGAAATTTAAATTTGCTGACTGGAACATTTTCGGTTAACCGACGTTTTGGTTGATCGGCTTTCAGATAAACAATGCTCTACTGTATTTGATTATGCCTATTATAAATAGTCTGTTTGTGCTAAGAGCTTTCAACCAGAGGTTATATGTTGTTTTGTTTCTGGCAGAATATGGCATTTTCTGCAAAGAATCATTTGTGAATGGTGTATCCTTCAGTGTTTTCTGTAGTTTTTAATGTTTATGACCTGATCTAGAATGGTGACCATTTACCCCTCAGTCTCTCCAAACAGACAGCCCCTAGTCTGCCAGTAATTTGATGCAGTTTTGTCAACGTAGTCCTGAGCTAGGTCATAGGCATTTCTGTCATGAAGTGCCTTTTGGGCTCATGACTGCTTAGTGGTGTCTATGATATTTATGTGTAGAGCTATGACCAGGTGCTCAGAATGTAAATTTAAGCTAAACAATCACTGTTAGTAATTGGGCAATATATATAACAATATTGGGCAGAATATTGTTATAATATTTAAATTTAAAGATGTGTGATTACTGTCTGTTTGAACTTTATGTAATCTCAATGTCTTTTGTTTGGCTGCAATTTGAAAAAAATGTAGACCTATAAATTTCTCTGTCGTCTATCCATCTGTCTTTCCTTAATCTGAAGAATGGGATTAGGTAGATGAAATCCAAGACCAGATGGAAACCTTAGGGGCAGGTGGCCCCAATTAACTATATATGAACTTCCAATGAAAACCAGAAGTCATGTTATTTCAATTCAAAACTTTTCTCCTGAAAGCAGTTAATAAATGACAGGCATGACTCTACTGCTAACAGGAAAAGTATGATGTACAGGAGTAAGACACTACAGTACTAATTTGAAGTGGAGAGCATATATTTTAAATTAAATAAATTAAAAATATGATTAAAAATTGCAGCCTGGCATTGTGACAATGTCAATAAATAATTGCTCATTCAAAACTACTTTGCTGAATTGTAGTAATCATTGAATTATACTTAATGTAATTTGATTATGTAGCACAGATCATACCTTTCATCATATGTAACTGTCTTCTGTGACAGTTTTTCAGATTTTATGGTTGCAAAGTGGTTTAAAAAATTGTTGATTTAATCCATGATATCAGTTTTAAAAAAATACTAATTAAGACATACATTGCAAACATCTGTAGTTTACATTAATTATGCAAATAGTTTTTTATTAATTAATTTTTTCTGAGGCAGTAGTATTGTTATTCTAGACAAGTATTCAAGTTGATATAGCAGAGTTCAGTACAGTCATTGTGTAACAAAATAAGATTAACAAAGAGAGAGTTAGAGATGGTATAGCTTTATCTTCAGGGTCACACCACAAGGGATGTTGTGGCACAATTCCATGCATTGCACCATGATTAGCCTCATCCTCAACAAACAACTGCACTAAGCGCTGTGCATAAATTATGTCTGCATTTTTCTTGAAATTTTTACTCCTCCTCTTGTCCCAGTTTGTCCAACTTGTAACCCCCTCCCTCCCTTCCAGTGTGGATGTCATGAACAGCCCCTAAGAATTAAAAATGATATAATTTTGCTGAACTTGTGATTTTGATAATGTACACAACTTGGATGATAGATAACATAGCAATGAACATCATAGCCACATTCACAGCAAATACAATTTCATCTGTTTGATTTGTGGTTCTGGAAGCAGGAATTGGGTTTATTTCTGTATATATAATTCTTACAAGTTTTTTATCATCCATACAAGTACCAATGTAATCAAGAGCTTTATCCTCAAGACCACAATGCAAGGATAAATTTTGCAGAGGTTTTTATGGATTTTGGAACACTGACTCTATCATTTCCAGAAAATTGCTTCATGGATGAAGGGTTATTTTATGGTGACAATTCCACTGATGTGCAATTGGACACACAAGAATTCATATCACCTACAAGTGAAGCACACTCAACTTATTATCCAGACTGTGAATGTTTGAGCTGGATTACTTGACCAAAAAGTATTTAGCCTGTTTTTTATTTACAGTACTTTCAACTCCCAAAAGTACTTAGATCTTTTAGTAGAGCATGTTGGGCCACTGCTTGAAAAGCTAAATGTTAACAGTGTTGTTTTCTACCAACTCAATGGAACATTTGTCCATTAGGATATTTAAGTTAGAAAATTGTTGAATGCCATATTTCCAAGCATTTAAATTGGCCAAAGAGGTCCTTTGCCAAAGCTTCCCCACTCTTCTGATTTGATGATGATAGATATTATTTTAATGGAAGTCACATAAAAGAAAGCATTTTCCAAACAGAAATTGTAAATATTGCAGCATGACTAGAGTGCTTAATTGATGCTTTTGCACAGATAATAGGAAAGAATCTTATGAAGCTGAAGAAGAATTTATGACTTGCCTTGCATACTGTCAGGTGTCACAAGGTGCCAGTTTTTATACTCAGTGAAATAAAATGTTCTTATAAATAGTGTAACTTCATTTTCATTAGATTTTAGAAGAGAGTTTTTCCTTCATTTCAACAAAGCAGCATGAAATAAAATGTAACTCTTTAATTTTTTCATAAGCCTGTGTTTTTCGTGGCTAGTTTAACATATTTCAGAGAAATATCTTTCATATTGTTGACAAGAGAAACAATGGGTACATTCCAGTATGCATCAAAGCATCGGTGAACTGCAATGTACAAAAATGTGTTCTGATATTCACTGGTGTAGCAAGCAATGTGCAATGCATTCATCACGTTGTGGATATGCTGAACTCTGATGAAGCAATATGACTGCTTCCATGGTTATATTTAGCAACTTTATAAAATAATCATAAAAATTTAATAAGATGGTTAGCATGTAATATTATTTAATCCCATACATTGTAATTAAATAAAAGATTATTTGATGATGATTTAAAAACTTTTTTAATATGTATACTTGAAATATATAAGCTATGTTGCTAGTAGTAGTAGAAGACTATGCTTGAAAATGGAGTATAAAACATTGTTGCTTTTGTATAGAGAAAAGTTCTTTTACGCTTCATAATAGCATCAGTAGCAGTTAATGAAAATATTTCATTATCATCATCATTTTTGCTATTCATTTGTATTTGCCCAAATGAGTCTACAAATGCCAATATAGTGCTGCTTACTTATGCCATCTTATTAGGCTCTCTATTATGCCATCTTATTGCCAGACATTTCAATAAAAGCTTGTTAAACTGTTCACTGATGCATTGGTTGTGGCTGAGACTGATGCATACTGGAATGTATCCAATTTCTAATAGAAAAAAGATCCCTAAAGCAAAAAAAGTTAAATTTAAAAACTTACGCCAAGCTTTGTATAGTTTCTGGATACAAATTCACTGAGTTCAGTGTTAATAAAGTTCCTTTAGTATTAACACAAGCACTTTTGACAAGTGCTTGTGTTACACTTTTGGTCAAATGTGTAAAATGACCAAATGACTTTTGACAAATGGTCAAAAGTGACACTTTTGACCATTGTCTTCAGGTGAAAAGAACAAATTTTAACGAAACAAACGTGCAGGATGTTCCAAAGAAACAGAATATTTAAATTCAAACCAGGTGTCCAGAACTTCCGTTAAGAATGTGCAACTAGTTTTTGATATGTTCGAATCTTATACCTTACGATGCTAGCGGTGCATACGTGGAAATACTACTGCATTGACGATATGATGTTAGGCTCGTTTTGTTTTTTAGACGCTGATACAAGGCAATCCACACCCCGGGTAGATTGAGGGTGGAAACATTGCACGCTTCTGAAGTAGCTGTGAGAAGCGCTTCCCAGATGAACACCAACCTTTGATTGTTGCAGCATTTAATTATTGCTGTTCTGGGCAATAACGGGTTGTAGCCTTGCTCGAGAACTTTTTTAGCAAGCTCTGTAGAACATCTTCCTTTGGCTACGTCATCCTGATGCTCAGCAAGGCGGGAGGCGAGCATTCTTGTTGTTGCTCCTTTGTATCTTGTAATAGCTCCCGTTGCCAGATTTTCTAGGTGCATCGTGTAAATCCCTGACTTTTCTAAAGTGGTTAACCTGTCCTGATTGTTGCAGATACACCTATGTAGGTTTGGTAGGGGGTTATGGGTAGTATGAAATTATACTGCCAGAATATACGGCTGATGCGTATAGAGGTTGGTCCAAGATACGGCAGTGATGACTGGATCACGGATGCTTTTTCCTTTCTGTACAGTGTGGTACATGGGTATAGGGACTCTTTTACCTTACGGAACACATGTTCATATTTGCCATGCGTGAATCCTGCGAGCGATACCACTACTCTGATGATGTCTAATTCGATTTTTGTTGCTAGCTGCGTTGACGGAAGCAGTAATGCTCTTCTAACGAATGCAGCAATGGCGGCATTGATGTACTGCGACAGTTGGAACGCATCTGCCGTGATAATGTACGGTAACCCATCTGATTTGTGATGAACGGCAAATTGCGGCCCATCAACCGACTTTTGTATACGCAGATCCAAGAACGCTACTGATTCCTCATGCTCCCTCTCCCATGTGAAACTGATAGTAGGGTATATGCTTGCAAGTTTCTGCACAAATTTGATAAACTCCTCCTCTGTACTCTCCCATACTATTAGGATATTGTCCACATAACGTAAGTATAGAGACGGATAACTGATGGTAAGAGGGGAGTTGAAAATTCTATGCTTGATTTCTCTCATAATGAGCTCGGCCAAGACTGCAGATAGCGGGGAGCCCATAGGAACTCCTCGCTTCTGCAAGTAGACGCTCTTGTTGAAAAGGAAATAATTGTGCTCAGTGATGAATGTCAGTGCATCACGTATGTCTAGCACTTTTGTTGTATACTAAAACCCTTTTTGATGATCAAAGAGTTAGCAAGCATTACGGCTTCCTTATATCCATCTGTACCTGTTTTTGAAGCTGTAATGCTTGCTAACTCCTTGATCATCAAAAAGGGTTTTAGTATACAACAACTTTTCTTGTTAAAATATAACCAGTCACAACCTCAGGCTTAGAACATGAATTCTTTTATTAACTTTGTAATATTTCTTAAGTTGATATTTCCAATATGAATTCTAGGTTTTGCAATCCCTTTTTAGTCATACTATTATAAAATTTTTCTATAAGATTTCTTTTACATTTTCCATTTGTTTCTCCTGAACTCGTTTTTTAATATAGTTCATTAGAATAAGTTCATTTAACATAGTTCATTCTTCTACTATACTATACTTGATATTATACACATAATTATCATGGATGACATTAGAATAGAATTAAAATCTCCTTGCCAATTCACCCTGAAACGTTTTATTGAAAATTGATTGCTAAATTTTGAAATTTAGTTTTATCATCAAACAATTTGATAAAATCAGTAGATAATACTTGCTCCATTAAAGCAATGCTCTGTCCCATCTTTGCCCTCTTAAAATGAAAATTCTAGTGTTGTTATTACTAATATTTATGTAATTATTTTTGTGTTTATCAATTTATTATTTTACTAATATATATTAATGTGCACATATATATATATATATAATTTTTTTTTTAGGATATTGCACATATTTGTTTTGAATCAAGACATTAACAAAACATATTTACTTGTTGAACAAATAAAGTCAAATATAAAATCACACAAATCATGTGGCAGAAGGTTGAAAGATTATATCAATATTAGAGACAATAATGGATACGTAAGTTTGTAATAATATTTAAGTATCTCTTTAATTTGTTTGAAGCATTTGTTTAATATTGAAATAGAAATTATTTTATATTAATATAAAATTACAATTATAATTAATTAAATTATGATGTGATAATTAGTTTAATTAATAACAGAGTATGTAAATGTAATTTTATCAAAATTGTACATAAATATTCAATTCATACAAAATTTTCTTCATTCTCAAATGACAACTCCATGATTAGTTTATAAATGTGAATCATTAATTTTCATTTTAAAACTTGGTTTATTTATTTATTGTAATTAAGTTTTAATTTGCACCAAATTTATTGTATTTTAATTATAATGAATACAATACATTTCAAAAATCTCAAGCTGCTGTGATGCATAACAATAAGGAGATGTCAATGTTAATATAGTAGAGTGTCAATCAGTTGGGGACTGGGGTTGTTCGGATAACTTATTTTTTGGATAACCGATTATGTATGAAAAAATATATTAACCTATCCCATGTTGAAATTTTTCTCTGTTGCATGTTGCATTGCATTGAATTTTCATCAATGTTAAGCCTAACATAAATTTTTAAAAATAATAATCGTGGCTATTGTATCATTAAAAATTATTTCTTTATTTTGTACAAACAAAATAAATATATTGAAAAATATAAAAACAAAAAAATTATACTTTAGAAGTTAATCTAGTATCAAAAACATTCGATTCAGCACGACACAGTCCGACTGGAACGCTTTCGGTTGATCGGCTTTCGGATAAACAACGCTCTACTGTATATGAAAGATACAGTTATATGAATATAACAGATATTCTGTTAAGATATGAAGCATATTGTTGATTGCCAGTGTATACTGTTTTCAAATATTTTAGAGCACCATTCAGGTATTGTGCAGTTCTGGTCAAGATTTGTAAATGACCTGCAATAAGTACAGTATTAGTATCCAGATAAAATGTTTTTTCTGATTATCTTTGATCATTTATTTGAATAACTTTAATTTTTATAATTTTATTTATTTTAGACTCCATTATTTTATGCTGTCAGAAATAATTATAAAATTTTGACAGCATATCTTCGAGAGTGTGGTGGTGATTCATATCTTGCTGATTACATTCAGAAAAATACACCATTTCATATTGCTACTTTGCACGGCAATAAAGCTTTGACTGTAATGGGATTATTATGCCATCCAACAAATGATAATGTTGATATAACTAATGCACACGGTATGTATTTTATTACTATTATTAACATATTCAGGTGTATATAAACCACAAACTGGAACAAATAAATTTTATAGATAAAACACACACCATTTTATTCCAGAAAAATGACTTTAATATCTACATATGTATAAGTAATTATAGTTTTACCATATTTGTTAATAGTATTATTTATTATTATTTTTAATTTTTGTTACGATATTGATGTATTATAGTTTTAGTTTTATTTGTTTGCATTTGGAATATTGTTTAAAATTTATAATGGTTCTAAGTAAAATAAGATTCTAGAATTTAAATTATGATTCAGTGCAGACTCCCTCTGCAAAACCAAGTTCAAAAAAAAGGTTCTTTTAATGTTTTGAAAATTTTTGTTTTATTCTGTATCTTTGATATGTGACCTGAAGATGACTATTAAATGATGGTTGTAAATCTAAATATCAGGGCTGTGGAGTCGGAGTCGTGGAGTTTTGGTGTTTTAGTCAGAGTCGGATGGTAAGGAAAAGTCAGAGTTGGAGTCGGTAGATTTTTTACGCGACTCCACAGCCCTGCTAACTATGTAAAATTACTTGTCGTGACTGACTGACTAACTGACTGAGTGATTGATTCATCATCACCCAGAGAAAACCACTGAATCTAAAGAGAGTGAAATTTTGTACACAGTTAGGGTACATCATGAAAACACACACTAAGAGGGGATTTTCGAAATTCACCGCGGGGGAAGAGTGAGAGGATTAAGGTTTAACCTAAAGAACGACTTCTACTGTACTATTTTAGATGCGAGTTTTTGTTTTCAACTGTGTTTAGTTTTCATTGAGTGCTTAGGTGTATTAAATTGATAACATTTCAGACATTGTTATAAATATTTTTATATATTTCGATTTTTTAACCAAATGTTCGAATCGTTTTAAATTTGAATTTGTTATTGCATATTAGTTTAATTATAGAAAAATTGTAAACGCTTCAGAAAATTGATCAAATTGAAAATAGTTTGTGTGATTCTCAGCAATTCTCATCATTCTCAGCGGTAGTTGTTATATAACAATTATTATGATTGTTGAAATACTGAATATAAATGGGGTTTGCTTGCAAAATCCATGCGAGAGAAGTCACAGATAACAGCTAGTATTAGTATAGTTAATTAGTTATTTTGCTGGAATATAAAAGCATGTTTTACCATGTTTACATATTCAAGATCAGTTGTGGGTTCAGCCTGTGACTAAAGAATTTCTATGGATTTCAAGCATATAAAAGTGTCAATGTAAAGTGATTTTTGTAAAATTAATAGTAGTTATATATACTTTTAAGTTGTTAAGTTTTAAATGTTAAATGCTTGGTTTTTATGGAAATAGAATGATTGTACATTTGGAATTTAGAATGTTTGTTACTGACAATGGGATGTATGTTAATTTTGAAAATGTTTCAATTAAAAAATTTTGATTTCTTTACAATTTGAAAATTGTTGTTTTTTAATACATTTAACCTTACTTGGTGGTGATAAATTATCAAAATAAATTTCAATGTTTTATTAGGCCAAACAGTGCTGCATGCAGCATTGCATGAAAAACAAATAGACAATCCAGAAAGAAATGAACTTATTAAGTTTTTATTGAAGAAAAAACATAAAGTTAGCAGTCAGGTAAGAATATTTATTTATATTATTTTGAAATGTTTAATACAATTAGATCTATTTTAAGAATAAATTCAATAAATGTTTTTCTCCACATTAAGTAATTCTTTTACAATTAAGTTTTTGTTTTACATCCCTTTTTGTTCAAACTAATTCTGGGCCTCACATGTAAGATAACCTTTGTAGTTATATAAATCAAATATTATAATATAACAAATATTAAAACAAAACCAATAAAAACCACAACAGCACAAGCAAACTGGAATAATTTATGTAGAATCTCATCTAATGCAAAATTTCCTGAGGAAGGCCAATAAAGGAGTGGCAGAAAACATTCGAGTACTGAATTTGGATGTTTCATTGCTGGAAATTTTGCATTTAAGTGAGATTCTAAACAAAAACCATATAAAGAGTTTGGTTATTTTAACCTACCATTGTCACATTATTTATGAAATGACATTCAGAATTTGGAATACAAGTATAAATATTTAACAAATAATATCTGAATTCTATCTATATGTAGTGTTTTTTTACTTTGTAAGATTTGACATTAACTTTTATAATTTTTTCCAGGATAAATTAGGAAAGACTGTATTGCATTATGCTGTTAAATATTGTGCCAAAACAGATAAATTTGACATACTGGAGGTATTTTGTAATTTCTTATTAATACATGAAGTATTTTAGATTATTAACTAAGATGTAGAAAAATCCATTTTAATTACTAAAGTGATTAATGTTCTATTATAGTGGGTGTCCATAAAATTCTTCACAAGTTTGTGTAATATAGATTTGCCTTAGAAAAAAGAAAACTATGAATTAAATAGTCATTTAAAAAATGATAAAAAAACTGTACATTATCTTTTTATTTTTGTAATTTTACAAGTTCCTATTGTTAAGTGCAGTTAATTCAACTTTGAGTTTGCAGTGCAAGTTTCTGTATGAAACTTGCACTGCACACAATTTTCAGACATTATGTGATTGATCAGCTGATCCACCTTTTTTTGTCTTCCATTCTTTTTTGTAAACTGCTGCCTTGAAAATTTCCCAAAAATTCTCAATTGGCCTAATTTCTGGCACATTTGCAGGGTTGTCCTCCTTTTCAATGAATACTTTGTTTCCTTATCATAGGTAATCAGAACTGTTTTGGCATAGTGGGAACTTGTTTGGTCTGGCCAGAAAACATATTCTGCTCAAAAATAATTATTTTTAATGTAAGGAAACAGATGACGTTATGCACATTCATTTAAATACTGCTTGATATTGATAGCAAAACTTGATTTTCTCATTAGGGCTTGACTCAATCCTTTTAGTCCTAATACATTCCAAACCAATATTTTGCCCTTAAATTTATTTTTCTTGGAAAACCTTACATTGACAGATATAGAGGAGATATCACTGGTATTCACCATTAATATTGATTGTTGAATGCCGGAAGAGGAAGTAAGATTTGTCATCCAAAATAAAGAACTTTTCATCATGAACTTCCACACTTTGTCTTTGGTAATGTTCTTTGTATCTGTTCTATCAGAATTACCTGCTTCTTTTGCTATTTAATGTGTTTTTGTTTTCAAAACCTCATGGCATTAACTATATGAATTTTTCAGTTTCAAGGCTACAAATTGAATTGAAACTTTGTCTACTGTCTTCAAAGGTCCTCTTCAATCTTTCCAACTTGGCTTTTGTTAGAATTTTTGCTTTTCTACCAGATTTGCTTTTATGTGGTGGTAATCCATCCTTAAAATGTTGGAAAATGCAATTTTATAGTCCATTTTGAAATTATGTCATTTAAAATGGTTAGTAGACTTTCCCTAATGTTTTATTTAATAAGTAAAAGTTGTACACACTCAGGCATAAAAACATTTTCTTTTTTTGCCAGTTTGAAAAAAGCAGAAAACTGAATGCAGAAAAAGTTTCTAAAATATTTTACTACATTCACTTTTCAAATTATAGCATGAGCAGCATAATTTAAAATTACTGGCTGTTAAGCTAGAGTCTGAGGTTTTTTGTGTAGATTTTTTTGGACATTATTTAATAACTAAAAGTGACTATTAAAACCTTGAATTTAAGTAATATATATACTATTTNTATATATATATATATATATGGGTTTGTATAAATATATCACTCAAAACCAACACCAGCACATAAGAAAAAAGGAAAAAATTTACAAATGTTTTCATCTATGTGAAATAGACATTTCCTATAGCAAATCTGGTAACTAGGAGTTTCTTTAAAGAAACTTCCATTTTTTACAATGAACTTCCTTGCTGATGGTAAACTGTTTGCATCTCTTGCATTAATACATTTATCTTCTAACCTAATTCTATATATTTCAATTTTTTCAGCATTTAGTGCCAATGTTGGGGGTCTTAACTATCTCTGCCTTCAGTTTGTGACATCTGGGATAGTACCATATTGTAAAGGCCCCTTTTTTACACTATATTTATGTTCTTTAAGTCTATCTCCTAATTTTCTTTTGGTGACACTAATATAATTCTTCTCTATTCCTAACTGCTTGTTTCCATAAGGTATTTTGCACACACTTGCTTTCTTCTCTTTCATTAATGTATCTTTTTCATTTTTCAATATACTGTAAATATTTGGTGCTCTTGAAAATTAGTTTAGAGCTCTTATGATTTGCCATTTCTTTCATAATGTTCTTCATTCTTGTTAAAAGTAAACTGTGACTGTACTGAGTCTACTGTTTTGAATTTTTGGTCTGCTTCTTTCATAGCTTCTAATCACTTCTTTTATCATGCTACTTTTGTATACCACGGTTTGGGCCATTTCTTTAATTCTACTAAGTTCCTTCAGTCTTATATTCAGTACACTACTGCAATACAAATATGCTCTTCTAAACAAGTGACCAGAATGCTGCCACAGTATATTTTCTTAAGGCATTATGTATTTGAACTGAAACTATTTGACTGACTGAAAAATTTTTGCTGTAAATAAAACAACAAAAATAATTATGCTATAAAAATGTTCATTCAATATTAAAATTAATGTAAAGTTTTAATAAAGATAAAACAGTTCAATACTTCAAAAAATTTTAAACAAAAGAAATAAAAAGAAGTGTATAGTGTCTTGCTTGTGTATTATTTTGAGATTTTTTAAGCACAGGTTTTATATAAATCTCTTTTTTATTTTATTTAATGAAGATTAAATAAATGATATTTGAAAGTAAATAAAGTATTTACAATAAATTCATTTTTAGATTTTATTAACTGAAGGATGTGATAGCAGCATTGCAAAATTAATACAAGACAATAGAGGGAAAACTATACTTCATGAAGCAGCATTACAAAATCATATGCCTATTGAACGTCAAAAGGAATTGATTAATTTTTTGATTGTTCATTGTTCTGAATTGCTAGAAGTGAAAACTAAAGATGGAAAATTACCTTATCAACTAGTAACACCTGACAGATTATTGGTAAGAACTTTCATTAAAAAAATTTTTTATAGTGCTTTAATTATAATATCATATATTTATATCCATCAAATAATTAAGCCAGATTTATTATTAGGCTGCATTTTGGCTAATTAAATGTACAAAAGCTATGTAATTTGGACTAAAGGTAGATGGTTAAATTACTATCTTGTATTAAATTTAATCATTAGAATTAAATAAATAAATTTAGAGTATTCTGGATGAAACGATCAGTTTGGAACAAGACCCGAACCTACAACTTCTACTTAGCATGCATATGGGTTCTGCAAACAGTCATTGGGTACTGTTTAAGTAGATATGTAAACATGTACACCACAATGATTGCATGGACAGCACATGTTCATCTTATTTTCATGCAATCTGATGTACTATTAGTTTCATTCAGATGTCTCTCATCATTGATATGATTTTACAATTTGGAAACTTGTGCATATAACCTTGTAGCTACATGAGCATTGCAGTGACATTCTCCATACATAAAAACTATTTCATTATGTTCCTCATTTGTGAATCAGCCCATTGTACTCATACAAAGTAATGTCATAAAAAAGTAAAGAACATGAACATAAATAATGGTTGGTTATATGCAGGGCCTGGCCCATTCATATAGGCAAACTAGGCGATGGCCTAGGGCGCTTGAATTTGGGGGGGCGGCATGGCAAAAGTACATGCTTAAATTACAATAAATAATGAAAAAAATAAATGTTTTTTGATCACAATCCTTTCTTGCGTGTTGACCCGTGAGTCGCCATTTTGAAAGTAGCGCCATAGTCTCACAATTGCGATATTGCGTGCTGCATATTGAATAAAAATTAGATATTCTTGGGGCGATATCAAAGTCATTTGCCTAGGGTGCTGAGTTTGCTCAGGCCAACAGTGGTTATATGTATACTTGCCTTGATGTAGCTCTGAAGCAATTATTATTTGCATGAAATGTTTGCAATACATTTCATGCAAATAATAATTTGGTTAAGTACATTTTATATTTCATTTTAGTCTGATTACTATTCAGTTGTTTCTATATTTACTATTTAATTATAAAAATAGTGCACACATAGCCTTTTCACTTTCCAGCACAATTATATAATGATTAGACAAATGTTTTCAAACTGCTTTATGGATCAACTTCAGGCTACCTATATATTAATGTATTTTTGTTCTATTTCTGGTACATTAAAATATTCAAAATATGTCTATAATAATTTTTAAATTTTGGAATTAACATAAATATTTAAATTTTGTTCTTTTTAATGTTTAATCACAAATAAATGTACATTAAAATAATTACTTATTATATATAAACAAAAATGGGGGAGATGTTATGAGTGCTGTTCTGTTATGTTTAGTTTTGGTTTTAATTTTGTTTGGGAGTTGTCGTAATATGACCTCCATGTGGTTGATAATAAGTCATAATCCTTGTGGTTTAAACAGATCTTGTTCAGTATTGTTTTATAAATTTCAAATATCTCTAAAGTTCTTGTCTTGTTCCTTTTACACTTTGATTGGTTTGGAACCTTCAAGTTTAGTCTCTGTCCTTGGTTCAGAGGCATATATGGCTAGTGTGGTGGATTGTATTTTTCTTTTTAATATTGTATCTGTGTTCATTTATTCTACTAGAAATTTATCTATTTGTACTCCCAATGTAAATCAGATCACGATCAAATCTATTGTCCTTAATTGGAACTTGATATATACCTGGTGTTTTAGATAAGATTGTGTCCTTGCTATTGTGTAGAAGTTGGTCCATGCTATTATGTTGATATGCAAGTTTGGCTCGTATTTTGCTGTTTCTTCATATAATGATTTAAACCTTTAAATCAAAGTCCACTATCACCCATCTAGACTTAGCTGGAGTGTTTTGTTGTACAACATTAGTATTAGGTTGGATTGCTCACCATTATTGATGTATCTTTGAATTAGATATTGTTTGAGTGATGCTGGATATCCATGAGCTAGACTATATCTATTATGTTTTTTAATTCTTATTAGTACAGTATGTGAATGCTTGTTTTATCAATATTCAGAATTCAGCTACTTTGTACAATTAAGAGCCATTTGAGTCTACTGGTATGAAGAAGGGCATATCACCTAGTTAGCATTGATGCTTTTCTCTTTTAACTTAATGTTTATATCCTAGGAAGTGTACTGATCTAACTAGTCTAACTCAAGTGTAAAACTGTATGAATTAGTGTTAATTCTCTATACAAAAGAATTTATATCCAGTCTTGATTTCCAGATTATATAATCCATATACCTCATGTAATGTTATATTTGATAGAAATTCTGGTAATATTTTTTCTCAAGAGTTCAGATGACAAATCTACATAGGTATCAAGATGGAGCTACCCATGGGTACACTGAATTGCTGTAAGACTGTGATGTCATTATATTTGAAAAATGATGTATAAGATAGTATGTGTGCAAGCTCTATGTTTTTGGTATAATAAGGACAGGCCCTTTGATTTGCTGGATTTCGAACTTCGTTTTGATGCTATGTTGGTTATTGCAGAAAGCTCCAATTTAGGTTCTAATTCCGGACAGCAGGTGTTCTTTATAGCAGCAATGTTGGGAGGAATGAGTTGTGCATAATCAAACATTGGAGTAGGTATATGTTTCGGACCTTGTGATATTATTTGATGAATATTTGCTGGTACGTTTGCATTTGCAAAATTATAATATGGAACTTCAATAATATTACTTCGTTTATGGCAGGACGTTTTCCGTAACCAATAATATTTACTATTCAATTTCTTCCTAATTTCTCGTGCATTTTTGTTGGCAATATATCTTATTTTGTCCAGTTGTTGGTACAGAATAGACGGATCACACTGCCTGTCGAAAAAGAGATGGGCCAGATACATCTTATCTTCTTCTTCCGATATCTTTCTGCATTTATTCTTAATAAGTCTTGCTAGGAGACTTTGTTCCATTCGAGGTAATAGCGAATTCGAGTTTATTTATTCAATTTTATTAATTTATTCTATATTCCAACCACGCGCATTACGTAATTTGGAAAGTCCGTTAAAAGCTATCACTTCGAAAATTAAGGTATTCGATTTCGCCTGAAGACGACGGTTGTAAACTGTTGAAAGTACTAGTGAGTACGTCTGAAATTTAACAAATCGCTGTCAATAACGCCGCAACACGGAAGTGTCAAATTTTAATTTATAAACGTGGCGTGAAGTGAACTACAATTTCATTCATGGAAACTAAAAAACACTTCTTTGCTTTATTGGATACCAGAACGTCGTGGTTGAGACAAAAAGCCCATCTTTGGTTTTTACTAAAATGTCGAAAGAACGGACTAATCCCCAAGTGCATTTCTTTTAAATACCAAGCATTTCCAATAGAAGTTCGAATTCGCTATTACCTCGAATGGAACGAAGTCTCCTAGCAAGACTTATTAAGAATAAATGCAGAAAGATATCGGAAGAAGAAGATACGATGTATCTGGCCCATCTCTTTTTCGACAGGCAGTGTGATCCGTCTATTCTGTACCAACAACTGGACAAAATAAGATATATTGCCAACAAAAATGCACGAGAAATTAGGAAGAAATTGAATAGTAAATATTATTGGTTACGGAAAACGTCCTGCCATAAACGAAGTAATATTATTGAAGTTCCATATTATAATTTTGCAAATGCAAACGTACCAGCAAATATTCATCAAATAATATCACAAGGTCCGAAACATATACCTACTCCAATGTTTGATTATGCACAACTCATTCCTCCCAACATTGCTGCTATAAAGAACACCTGCTGTCCGGAATTACAACCTAAATTGGAGCTTTCTGCAATAACCAACATAGCATCAAAACGAAGTTCGAAATCCAGCAAATCAAATGCACAAACTGCTAGGGTAGTTAAATCGTATCTTACAAGGACAGGCCCACTTTCTCAAGTAAAAAAATCACTCAGTGTGCAGAAGCAGGGTTGCATGTATATTGATTAGTACAGTGAAACAATCTAACACTGTGAAGTATTCTTCCCAACTAAAGTGATATTGTTTAATCTAGTAACTAATTTTTGTGGATCAGTACAGAGAAATCATAGTCCTGTAAGGACTCTGCTAAGATCTTATATAATTGATTTTCTAATAATAGCATAAGTGATTTAGCTTTGTCTACATGAAGGCAAATAAAAAGAATGAAATTTAAATTTTGTGTTAATTCCAAAATTTAAAAATTGCTGTAAATATATTTTGAATATTTTATGTTCTAGAAATAGAACAAAAATGCATTAATGTATAGGTAAGTCTGAAGTTGATTTGTAAAGCAGTTTGAAAACATTTGTCCAATTATTAAGTAATTGTGCTGGAAAGTGAAAAGTTGTGTGCATGATATTTTTGGAATTATTTTTCAGCTTAAATTTCCTTTATGCATATTTAATCATATCATTTGCATATCTTTATCATTGCTAACCTAAACATAATTGTACATTCAACTATTCCTGCATTATGTTTTTTATTCAGTGATGCATTTTAACCCCCTGCATGTTGTGATGTGAAGTATTAACATGCCATATTTCACAGCTTGTTCCAGGATCCCACTTAGTATTTTAGAATGCACTAAAACTAACAGTAGAGTTGTCTTTTTCCCTACATATAGTTTGTATGGAAAAAGACATGTAGGTTATGTTATTACAATAGCTTTATTAACTTAAAGCAGTGTTTTTCAACCTGTGGGTCGCGACCCCCCTGGGGGTCACAAAGCCTTACACGGGATCGCAGGTAAAAGAAAAAGACAAGTGTTTGTAGGTCCTACACTACATTAAAAAACTACAATTTCAGTGAGGCTATACCTGTTTATTTTACAGTACAATTGGTTTTTTGATTGATATTTAGGCCTCAACTGGGGGTGTAGCCAGGGAGGGGCCTGGGATCGCAGAAAATCATAGCCGAAAAAGTGTGAGCTGATTTGCAAAAAGAAATAAAAAGTAGAAGCTGTAAATCGTGTTCTTATAAAAAAAAAAACGTCA